AAGGACGTGGCTGTGTCTCGTATTAAATCCTACTTACTTAACCCTGCTACATGATTTTTCAATAGAACGAAAGAAGAAAACACGGTGACCACACCTGCATTCTGTGGTATAGAAAGAGCGCCAATGAGCTTGTTACCTAACTCATCTATACATGTAGTGTGGGGTGTCGCATATCATCTAGCGGTGTTAACTTACTGTTATTTCTGCAGTTCCCACAATCTTTCTTATTCCAGCATGAAAGAGTAGGAGAAGAGTGACAGCAATAAGAAAGTGTCATATTGCTAAGAACCTTGACCAGTTCGACAAATTTTCACGTGAAAATAATTTTGATTACACGGCAATCGCGAGACAGTATGCTTTCAAAACAGACGACTGTTACGAAGAAAGAAAATGATCAGTTTAAATCAATAATTTTTCTTTCCAATTATCAGTCAGGGAATGAATTTTACAAGTATAAGTCAAACTTAATTTTTCATTAAATCTCTGTCTATGTGACGATTGTTATAGCTTTTGCTATTACTTGAGAATACGTGAGAATAAGACGGCACGTCCGTTTCTGTAGATATTATCGTGTCTCAAATGTTTTTGAACAGAAGTTCAAGTAATTTTCATTCGCAATTTGTAAAATGGAACGCACGCCAGTCTCGAAGGGTGACAATTGAAATGTGATTAGAAACACCGCGGTGTAGCGTCGAAGCACCCTTGTCATAAATTTCAATGCTCTAATTGGCTTGCGATTAAGGGTCGTTCACATTCTTTCCATCACTGTCATTGTCAACATATGGCCACTGGCCTTCTTTTCCTCGAGCATATAGGATTACTTGATGATGCGTTCGCATTGCGCGGGAAACCTATACCGTTACCTCTTTCCGTTCTTTAAACAATCATTTATCGTGCATTGTTCGATCATTTTCATTAGTAATATCCACGAGATACGATTATCTTAAAGCATCGCTTACTTTCAATATAAGTACAATACGATTTAATCTTTTCAAGATTTCCAAGGTCCTTGATTCGTCTAGAACTTGCGAGATCCGAGACTTTGGTACAGCAGTGTGATTATTGGTGGTGCCATTGAAATCATAGTCGCTTGGCTCGGAGTTGAAAAGACCTCTGACCGAGTCTAATTCGTAGATGATTTGTTTGAACCAAAGTTCGTATGCTGCGGACCAAATGGTAAAAGAATTATAATTTCCCTTGTAGACATTCTTCATTCTTAAATTAAATTCCGTATACTGCTCTCTCGCTCACTCTGAATTGAAATGTACTATTTATAACTATTACTTTGAAACCGAAGAGAACTGAAATTCCATTATTCTTTTTCTTTTTTCATTTTGTAGCATCGTTGGCTCTTCTTTACTTTTCATAGCCTTTCTTGTAAGATGAAAAAATACGAGAACATCAAATATATCTCTTGAAAAGTAAAAACATGAGTAGAAGATATATCTATCTTGAAAAGCAGAAGGATGACGATATTTTAACTAAAAATGATAGCATAGCACATTTCTTAAATATAGCATGGACAATGTATCAAAATCTAACGCTAAACATGTTTTATCAGTGGAAGGATAGGAAGTGTAATTTGGAACAAATAGACGAAGTTTAACCACCATTGCGTAATATTGTTTATATTTGTTACGAGCGTTGCAGCGATTAAGATTTTTACCCTGATGAGTGACGATAAAAAGATGTTCGTCGTGTACTTCCTTGTTGTACTCGGCGCTCAGCAACCTTTGTGCGGTTAAAATTTTGTCCAATCGAAGATATTCACCATAAAGCATACCTGGCCCTTCGGCCAACTGATCAGTTTCTTGATCATGATCTTCCCTAAAAGCAAGCAGTTGAATCATAAATTCATCTCAGTTTACGTGTTATTATATATAATTGAAAACGTAATGCTCGCTTTTGATGCGACAGTTAATTTTTGATTATTCAATTAGTTATTCTTCAAATAAAAGAATGAGTAAGATAAAATAATAAGCGAGACTTTGCGAGTATCATCATTTGATCAGAGAATTACATAAATTTCGACGCGTAAGAATATTTAGAAAGATTACTTACGCAATATCGTCTGATAAGGGACAAGCCATATTTTTATTCCCCTAAAAAAAGGTAATCCACGAAGTGCTGTTCGAATTTTAGTTTTATTCGGCGTATAGCCTGTCACTTTTAAATGACAATTACAAGCAATGAACAATGGAACAAATGTCACGGTGAAATTGCAGAACGGTTCACTTTAGGCAACCTCTTTTTCAGGATGACATTTCCGTCAAGTTTCAACGAGCACCACTCGGTTAGTCGAATAACATAAACCGATACATGTTGTCAGCGACGTGGTTGAACCGCGACTAAAAACTGAATGACCACTGGACTCACGAAACTATTCCTTTTATGTTTTGCCACAAGAGCGAGGGCACATGAATGAATGTGCTTGCGATTGTCTGTTTCTTTATATATCTCTTCGTCTATAATCTGTAAATAATTTAACATTCGTGCAGATTCTTGTTATATACAATTTTTGCTTGATTATCGACAGGAGAATTTTTCTTCACGTTATACACAGAGATAGAGATAGTGGAGTATTTAAATCGATAGTTTCGATTCGATTCGACGCGTGTTTTGGGCCTCTCAATTGCAAAATATTGATTCTCATCGATTATCGAACGAGCAGAAAGAACGAACGTCATCCTCGATAAACAGACGTTTCATTTCTGGCAATGAAAATGGTAACCAGATTTAGATTTACGATTGATTACGTAAATCGCCGGATTCACATGCTTGAGGCAAGCATTTTTAAATCGACAATTAAAAATCTATTTGCACCACTATTAGAAATGAAAATGACATTTGTTTACTCGTCTCGGAATTATCAGTTCGGTGCTTCGCTGCTAGATGTCGCGAGAATGAAGTTTTCAAATAATAGTTACATAACCAAACGACAGATGCTGCAGGTTGTACAATTGATCAGCGAGTATTTCGCATAATGAATTTTTTCACTGCTAAAAGCATTTACAAAAAATTATAAATAAAAAAGAGGACATTTTTCTAAATAAATTTTATGGATTACTGAAACGTTTTTCAATTCATAGGATCGTCGTTCTTTTAAAATATATTGCCTTTTATATAATTATTTATCAGCCGTTATGAGATTATAGTATCGATTGTTTTTTGCATCGCGACTAACGAAACACATTGCGTAATATTGACCTATCGTCGTTTATGAAATTATTTTATGTCACGAATCCGCGATACCCTTGAAATTATGCACGATTATACCACTAACAAGATCATCTGATACATGATCCAGTACTATATTAAGAATAATGCAACAGGTATGTAAGTGCGTTGATGTTGCACGATATGTTTTTATCTATTTCATAGACTATCGAGAAACAATTTTCCTACTATCTTTTCAACATTTATTAAAATTATAGCCATTTATTTTTATTTATGAGAATTACAACATATTTAACATTATATATATATATTTTTGTAAAAATTACAAGATATTTAATTATCTTGCTCCCTGTTCCTCATTCAATTAAATATTTTATTCAAGTATTTTTGTACATTTCTCTGGCATAAAAATATCTTGTAATTTTTATACATGCTACCAAAATTGCACATAGCCTAATGGACTTTGCATAAAATTTACATGTGAAGAACACTCGAATTCTGCTGGTGAAGTGGTGAGCTCGGGAACGTGTAAATTGCCTACAGCCCCATCGACAGTACAGTACAGATATTTCGTTATAGTAAGTAGTTGAAGTAGGCATAAGTTCTTAAGTCATCGTAGCGTGATGCAAGTATGTATTTTTCTATAAATACTCACACTTAGCTTCAATCTTAAATTTTTTTTCATCATAATGGATTCCTCAATGCATGTACATATACACGTTCCCACAAATATAACATTATACATTACATAAATATAATATAATACACTACAATCTGTATATTCAAACGTGTCATAATTTTTATTATTTGTTTCTTGTTGGTGATTACTTTTATATTTCATTTCCTGAAATTTTCACGTGAAAACAAAAACGTTTCCTCCGAGAAAAAAAAAAGAAAAAAAGTGGGATTAATTTTAATAATTAGTTTTAGTAATAGTTTTAATAGTCACGTGACATAACGACGATGTAAATCGCGCCTAGATCGAAAACTGGCATTTTCTAACGAATGGTAAAAATCATTATCAAATGATTTATCGAATGAATTATCAATCTTTCAAGACTAATACTCTGTTCTCTACGTTTCTTGAATGGAAATATTATATGAACGAAGTTTTCGTGGCCGTAGCGCAGAAACGTAGAGAAAAAGAGGGAAATGTGGAAAAGGAAACGATAGGAAATGATTGAAAATTAAAACGAAACATAGATTTGTGTCTATCCATTATTTAATATATATATGAAATGGAAATCGATGATATATA